TGCCGCCAACTCCCAGATGCGAGATCCCTGCCTGGGCTGGACACAGCCGACCACTCACCTTAAACCAGGGGTGCTCCAGCGTCTGCTCCGCGTTGGGTCTCCTACAAACAGGGCAGGGCCTTGGTCAGACCCGGGGCGAGTCCCCCACTCGGCTCACGCCGACACGGCTGCCCGTGGGAGCAGGGCCAGGCCTGGCAATGGGGTTGGCATCAGGCCCCAGGCAGCAGCACCATGGCACTGCCTGGCACGCTGCAGGTCAGGGTGGGACATCTCCCTCTGGCCGGGGAGGCCAGCCTGGGGCGGTTCTGGTCCCTGAGCATGGGGGGACTTGGCCTATGGTGCTCCCTGCCCAGCTCCACCACCGTGCACGTGGGACCCTGGCGTGGTGGGGTGCTCCCTCCCTGGACACTGTGGGCTCCTAGTCCCTGGCCATCACTCCCAGCCCGGCGGTGGCAGGAGGGAGACCTGACCAGCCTGGGGGACGGGTGGGACCAGTCCTGGGGGGTGTGGCAGGGCCCAGCGGGCACCCATGGGGCCCCCCACTGGGGCACCAAGGCCTGGGGAGGGACGTGGGCTGAGGGATCTCGGGCCCCAGCTACCACGAGGGGGGTGGGACTGGGACTGGGATGGTGTGACGAAGTGGGAATGTTCAGAATGTTTTGTCTGAACACTGTGTGTGCCTCAGTTTCCCATATGTGATACTCAAGTATCTAGATGGGGTAGGATGACCATACGGCCTGTTTTGGCCGGGATGGTCCCGGTTTTAAGCTCTGTCCCGGCTGACCTGACTTTTTTGACAAAAGTAGGCATCTGTCCCATTTGCCCTTGCCAACGCCAATGGGAGAAATGCCCCCTTTTGTCAAACAAGGGGGTGCGGGGGAACGTGCAGGGGGGCAGCCGGGGGTGACTGGGGCTGGGCTGCTGGAAGCGAGTCAGTCGCCTGGTTTGGGACCCGGGGGGGAGGGGGGCACGCTGTGCCCTGTATCCCCCCAAGCTGGACTTTGCTGCTGGTCCCTGATTTCTGTGCTCACAAGCTCTGTCCTACGCTGGGCTCCCGACTAAGAACCCGTCTGTGTCCCACGCTGGCTGGGAGTCACGGCTGGCTGCGGAGTGGGGGGTGTGACGAACTGGGACTGTTCTTCCTGTGGTCTGTGAATGCTGACAGGGGAGTGTGACTAGGATAGTCTGCATTGGGGGATGGGAGACTGACCGGAGAATACCTGAGCGTGTAACATGAGAACCCAGGGAGGGGTTAGAGGCCAGGTGACACCTTTGCCCGGGAGACTGAACAAAGGCTGTGGGAGGGGTCGCTGAAGGAGAGTTTCAGGAGCTGGCTGGTGGAATGGCTGGGAGGCAGACGGGGCTCTGAGCTCCCAAGGGGGCTGTGGGGCCCTGGGACCCCAAGATGGACCTAACTGAGGGGGATCCTGTTGTCTGTGCCTGCAAGACCTGTCTTGGACTGTGTTCCTATCGTCTAAATAAACCTTCTGCTTTACTGGCTGGCTGAGAGTCATGGTGAATCACAGGAAGCCGGGGGTGCAGGGCTTTGTGTCCCCCCACACTCCGTGACAGGGGGCAGGGCCCTTTGGGGGGTGGGAGGCTCCCCAGGGGTCCCGTCCAGGGGGACTCGCTGCGGGGAGCTCCCGGAGTGAGCAGGGGGCCGAACGCTCCGAGGTCAGACCCAGGAGGGTCTGAAGCCGGGCAGGCTCCTTGCCCTGGTGAGGGGCCCTGAGGGGAGACGCTGCCCCCGAGTCCTGGCTGGCGTCACTCAGCGCGGCGCCCGAGCTCCAGCCCGCGACTCCGGGACAAATAACCCAGAGGGTGGGGGCAAAATTGGGCTGGGTACTGCAGCGGCCTTGGCGTGAGGGGATGTGGCTTGGGGGGATGTCCCAGGGCAGGGGGAGCGGAGGGGGACGGCCCAGGAATGGGGGGCCCGCGGCCCGGGCGGTGGGGGGGCCGGCCC